TATATTATATATGGAAACAAAAAAAAAGATCGTGAATGAATTGTATTAATAATTCTTATAATACGTTTTCTATATTCAAAGGTAGCAAAAGAGTGTGATCGATTTCTTGATCCTTTAAGATATCAAATGGAAATATATTTCTTTCTTTCTTTCTTTCTTTCTTTCTTTCTTTCTTTCTTTCTTTCTTTCTTTCTTTATATATCTTTTCCTTTCTTTTATCTATTTCTTTTTTATAATTTTATAAAAAAAATATATATACTTCGTTTAAAATAAGAATATATTATAATAAATTGTTTCACAGTGGAATAGAAAGACAGACAACATCTATGAAAATAAAGAGAGAAATACACGAATCACCGATAATAATTTCCCGAAAAATCGATGTTCCCGCACAACAATCCAAAATAACTATAAATAATTCTATTGTGAATGTAAGACATATAAATATTTCGTAAATATTCAAATATAAATTCACTTTTAATTATTAAGAAAAAATTTTATACAAAATTGCAGGCAAAAACTACATGTGTATTACCTTCGAAGGAAAATCTTCAGCATATGCAATCTATTGAACCGCAATTTCAAACCAACAAAGAAAAGGAATGTTGGCATCTTTACAAGAAAATGTGTGACAAAGGCGTTTGCGTTTCTTTTGATACGGTTTTAAGGTTTAAATATGAATCATTTTTAATAAATTGTAAATTAATTTGATTTAAAAAAAACTAATCTTCTTATTTTTCATGACATTAAAAAAATTATAATTTATAATATTATATTTCAATCAAATATACTCATTACTAATTCGATTTCCATCACTTATATTATATTGTAATGAATAATTTTTGTATAAAAGATATATTTCAATATTATAATTATTTTATTTATTCATGAAAATTTTTATCAAAATTTTATTGAATTGATTTTTGATATCTAACTGATATATGAAAATTCCATTATTTTTCAGGGGCATGCTTACACCAACGGAATATCGACTAAGACAGAGAGAAATCTTAGAAAATTTGTGACAAAGCTTATATATTGTTGGTACTTTTATAAAAAGTTTTATAAAAAGCTATAGTTGTTTATTATCTTTATCTGAAAACGTAAAGAAAAAAGATTAAAATAAAACAATGGAAGTGCTCGAAATCGTAGTAACCTGAGCTTGTAATTTTAGAATTTAAAATATTGTATTTTTTTAGATTTTACGAATTAAATATAAAAATATAATTTGTAAAAAATCTTTATCTTTTTAGCGAATAAAATATTTTTAGCGAATTAATTTTCTTGAATTTAATATGTATTAATATAATATATATAATCAATATATATAATAATTGCCTATTTTTTAGAATATTTATTAATATATATAAATATAATGTAATATGTAAATACTATGTTTTAAACGATATGACAAATTTTTAGGAAAAAAAAGTTAAATAAATAATGAATAGAACATAGATAACAAGTATATAATAGATAATAGATAGATTTAAAAAATAAACAATAGATTTAAAAAAAAAGATTAGAAAAAAAATTATCGCTGCTATATTATAATACGAATTAAAATATGAGAGCTTATAAATTTGTTAATTATTTAGAAAAGAAATTGATTATTAAATTTCAATATTGAATGAATGAAATTTCAATTTTTATTCAACAATATTTC